CAATGTGCCTCACTTGTCCACATTGTTTCTTATGCTTCCTAAGCCCTCCAGACTTTTTCCCTCTTCCTTTTGGGAATGGGAAAAAGAGAAGAAAAGAGATATGACACAATAGACCAGCATGATGGTGGGCAAGGAGTGGGAAAGGCTTGAGAGGAGTAGAGAAAGACATATTGAGAAGGTTGAAAGAGGTCCTCTGCTTCTTTTCAGAAGGAGAAAAGAATGGAATCTTTAAAAATCAGGAGAGTGCTAAATCTCCTACTTCCAGTAGGCACTGTATACTTTTTCTTTTCAAAGTTAATTATTATTACTTATGACTATTATTTTTAATATACTTATTAGTTTTAATCACATATGTTTTTGTTTTTATGGACCCTTTAGGTCAGAAACTGCCTAGCATTTCTTGAGGGGCTCTGTCGTTTTGGAGCGTGGAAGTCTTAGTCCCATGGCTCAACATCGTGTGGGTTGGGTTTTGGTATCTCATTCATTGTTGAGCACAAGTTTTGGGTATGTAGCAGTAAACAAGGCAGATCTAGTCCTTGCCCTCAAGGGGTTTATATTTGGAAAGGCAGACGATAAACAGAGATGTAAATAATTCAGGTGATTTCAGGTATTTATAAGTGCTACAAAGGAGATGCACTAGGAGACTGTGTAATTAGAGAGTGTTCTTTTAGGTATAAGCATCAGGAGAGCCTCCACATGGGAGTGATATTTGAGATAAGACCTTATTAATGAATAATAAGGGTGCCTGGCTGGCTCAGTCAGTGGAACATGTGACTCTTGATCTGGAGGTGGTGAGTTCAAGCCCCACATTGGATGTAAAGATTACTAAAAAATAAATAGATAAACAAACTTAAAATGAGACAGAAAAAGCCATGAGGGAAGAATGTTCTTTGGGTACAGATCCTGCTGGGGCATTCACTAAATAGTGTTTGATTGATCAGTGACTCCTCACTTTCTTTCATCAACTTTTTTGTGGTCTTTGTTTTAGGTTGTGTAAACACATGACCTACATTTTCTCTGGTCTTTTTGGGATATTTTCTCACAGATATTGGTAGGTATCAGTGAAAAGAATGGACTTTTTATATATACATTTTAAGTGCCAGGCAATATGTAGTAACACTTTTGTAACAGTTCTGTGAAATAGGTTCATAATTTGAGTTTGCACAAATGAGAAAATTGAAGCTCAGGGAGGCTAAGTAATTTTTCTAAAGAGACTTAATCCCAGAGTTAAAACCTCAACCCACCTCTTTTTATTTACTTAACTTTTAAAAAAGATTTTATTTTATTTATTAAAAATTTTTTTTTACGTTTTATTTATTTTTGAGACAGAAAGGGACAGAGCATGAACAGGGGAGGGTCAGAGAGAGAGGAAGACACAGAATCTGAAACAGGCTCCAGGCTCTAAGCTGTCAGCACAGAGCCTGATGTGGGACTTGAACCCACAGGCTGTGAGATCATGACTCAAGCCGAAGTCGGACGCTCAACTGACTGAGCCACCTAGGTGCCCCAGATTTTATTTTTAAGTAATCTCCACACCTAACATGGGGCTTGAATTCACAACCCTGAGATCAGGAGTCACAAGCTCTACCAACTGAGCCATCCAGGGACCCCATTATCCCACCTTTAAAAAAAAAAAACAGAGCAAAAACTCTTTTTCCCAGCACAGTGTAGATTCCTCTGGTCTGAAAATGTAGCAGCTACCATCTGTTGCCCCTGGAAACAGACTAAGGCCATCAAGGGAATTATCCTGGCTTTGCGAATTTCAGCCAATCCCAAGATTCAGTGCCTCTCATTAGATTCTTCTAAAGTAAAATGTACCTATGAGCTTCAATTTTTAACGACCATTTTCTGTGCTACAGAGCCCCTAATGAAGCTAAAGATTCTTCCCATCTCCTTGCTTCTCTTTTAGTCTTTTCAACAGGAGACCTGTATATTTGCTACATCTAATCATGTATAAGAGATGCACCTAGTTCCTATTTTATAGCTCAGAAAACTGAGGTTTAGGGAGGTGAAGGCCAAAGGTCACAGTTATTTGAATTCGTTGAATGTGCTGTTGTGACAAGCCTCTTTCCTCTTTTTCCTAGCGGAAAGCAGAATAGCTCTTGGTTCTCTGCTGCTAGGGCATTGCTGACCAGGAGTTTATGGGAAAGATCCTCCCCATTTTAAGAATACTGTCTTAGAAGACACATAACCAGATTATAAACTCTTAGACGTGGAGAAGGAAAAATGTGCTCATGATCCCATGAAGTGAGCATTTTCATTTCTTTTCCTTTTTTCCCAGACACATGCTTTTATCACTTTGCTTTTCAACAAAGTAATCCGTGCTTATTACACAAACCTAAACAGTTATAGAGTATAATATAAAAATTAATAAAATCTTACTATTCCTTTCAATTTGATACTTCCACAAGTAACTAATGTTAAAATAACTGTGTATTCTTCCACACCTATTTTCTATTCTTTTAAGAATAAATACACACACACATAATTCATGAATATGTAAGTGTATGTGTGTGTGTGTGTATATACGTTTGAGCCTATGCACGCACACACACACATCCCTTGATTCCCTCCCTCTGTTCCTTTGTTTGCTCCTTCTTTCCTTTTTCTCTCCCTTCCTCCTTCTCTCCCTCCCTCCCTCCCTCCCTCCCCTCCTGGTTCATATTATATTCATAATGCACCCATTTTACTTAAAAATATATTGTTGACATACCTTGAAGTTAATAGTTTGTGATCTCGGTTATATGTTGGAAATGCCAAAGAGCTTTAAAAGTACTGACAGGTCCAACCCTTAAAAAGCCTGCGTTAATTGTCTCAGGTGAGGCCTGTGCAGCAAAATTCAAGCTCCACCCCCCTCCTCCTCCACCCGCCTCAGGTGGTTCTAACGTATGGCCATATCGACAACCACCGCTTTAAGTCAGTGTGCTCAATGCAACTCATTCTTTCTTTTTAATGGCTAGATAATATTCCAAATTGTGGCTGTACTAAAATTTATTTACTTATATCTCTGTTAATAAATATTCAATTTGTTTCCAGTTCCTTGTTTTGCTAAAAATGCTTCAATTAACATTTATCCTTAATTACTTATTCCTTTATTTCTATGAAATACAATCCTAGCAGTGGGCTTCTTGGTTAGAGGTATGGCATTTAGAATTTTGATAGGTACTGGCAGGTCATTTTCCAAAAAGGTCTTGATAATATCTACTTCTAATAGCAGTCTATAGCATACTCACCTTCTTATTCCTTTGCCAATCTGAAGAGAGACAGAAAACATTTTTTTAACTCACTGCTGAAGTTGAGTATTTTCTTATTCATACTTATTTGTCATTTGCATTTCTCTTTCTGTGATGTGCCCTTTCATACTTTTTGCCCATATTTAATTGTCATTTGTTCTTTCTTGTCATATTTTAAGAGCTCTTTAAATAATAGGAATATTATCCTTTTTTGGTCATATATGTTACAATATTTTCTTCTAATCTACTCTTTGAATTTTGATAATTTATATGGCACTAGTATATTTTAGCAAAAAAAATATTTTTAAGTAGGCTTCACATCCAGTGTGGAGCCCAACACAGGGCTTGAACTCATGATCCTGAGATTAAGACCTGAACTGAGATCAAGAGATGGATGCTTAACCGACTGAGCTACCCAGGTGCCCTGTGGCCTGACACTCATATGAGAGAACACACACACACACACACACACACACACACACACACACACACTGAAGCAAGGGAGAGGAAGGGAGAGAGGGAGAGAGAATCTTAAATAGGCTCCCTGCCAGGCAGCTTGGGGTTTGATCTCATGACTGTTAGATCATGACCTGAACCAAAATCAAGAGGCGGATGCTTAACCGACTGAGCCACCCAGGCTGTATATACTTTAAACTGTTGAGAATGCATAAACAAATTTTATCTCATGTCTTATTCTTCATAATATTTCAAAATTTTTCATATTGGCAATCTGTTGTTACTACCATTCTTAATGGCTGCGTGTAATTCTATTCAACTTCCACTCTATTCATTTAAGCTTCAAAAAAAAAAAAATCCAGTGACTGTTATTTTAAATAATGCTGTAATTAATATTTTCTTGAATTTAGCTTTTTTGACAGTTTGGATGCTTAGGAGACTCCTACAAGTGAAGTAGTTGGGTCAAGAATATAAATATTTTTTATGGTTGTGGTAATTATTTCCTAAACTCTGTTACAGTTTTTGGCTGGCCAATCAATATAGAAAATTAGGGGCAAAATAGCTTTAGTATTTATACAACAATATCTCCTAGAGGACAAATCATATTACAGAATTAAAAAAATTAAGTTTCTTAAGTCATTTTTTAGCTTTATGGTGAAGGAAGAATTATACTTTTTTCCAGGTTATCTAAGAAGGTAGGTTCAGTTCAAATAAAAGTGTTTTTTTTCGAACACCTGCTGTGTGCAAGAAGCTGTACCAAGTGCCGCAAAGGATAATTCTTATGTAGTTATTGCTTTTTTAAGAAAATTTCAATTTAATGGGGGAACAGAAACAAATGTATTATTTTCTTTTCTTTTACAGTTCAGTACCATCAAATAGGTATGAAAGAGAAGAGATAGGATTTAGTTGTATGTATCAGCAAAGTTTTCTTAAAGGAGGAGGTAGCATGGCCGAAGCGTAATAACCTGCTTGCCTGGAGAGATGAATACATAGGGGGAAAAAGGAGGATCCCAGACTGGAAAAATAAATAGGTAGCAGACTGTTGCAGGCTTTGCATGTACATTTAATTTGATATGAAGGGGGAAATGGTGAACGATTTTAGTTGGGAGTCGTATTTTGGAAGATTAATTTGGCATTATCTGTGGATTAGACTGAAATGGAAAAAGCCAGCTAACTACTGGCTAAGCATTTTGGGCAACTTGTTTATTCCTGTAAGGTTCATTTATCTCATCTGCAAGCCAGAAACAATAATGCCTATGCCATGGTGCAGTTGTGATTAAATAGAATGGTGTACATAAAGTGCCCGGAATGACTCCTGATATATCATGGGTATATTGTAACAATTGCTTTTAAGTTGGTCTTATATTTTATATGCCTTGATAATAAATAAACAACTCATATGGGAATGTAGTCACTTCAATTAATTCTACTTGTATACTATTAAAGCTAAATTAGCTTTCATGTCTTTTTTTTTTCCCTTGCAAGGTCCTTTTGAAACTCATTGGATGGATGCTCTAAATCAAACAAGAGTGACTGAATTTGTCTTCTTGGGACTCACTGATAAGTGGGTGCTGGAGATACTATTTTTTCTGGCATTCTCCATCACATATGTATTAACCCTTTTGGGAAACACTCTCATTATAGTTACTATAGTCTTTACTCCACGCCTCCATACCCCCATGTATTTCTTCCTGAGCAATCTGTCCTTTATTGACATCTGCCACTCATCTGTCACTGTGCCCAAGATGCTAGAGGGCTTGCTTTTAGAGATAAAGACTATTTCCTTTGATAATTGCATTGCACAGCTCTTCTTCCTACATCTGTTTGCTTGTGGTGAGATCTTTCTGCTGACCATTATGGCTTATGATCGTTATGTAGCCATCTGTGCTCCATTGCACTATTCTAATGTGATGAACATGAGGGTCTGTGTACAGCTTGTCTTTGCTCTCTGGTTGGGGGCTACTGTCCACTCTCTGGTGCAGACCTTCTTGACCATTCGTCTACCTTACTGTGGCCCCAACATTATTGATAGCTACTTCTGCGATGTGCCCCCTGTCATCAAGCTGGCTTGCACAGATACATACCTCACGGGAATGCTAATTGTGTCTAATAGTGGAACCATCTCCCTCACCTGTTTCCTGGCTTTGGTCACCTCTTACACGGTCATCCTGGTTTCTCTTAGAAAACAGTCAGCTGAAGGGCGCCGGAAAGCCCTGTCTACCTGCTCAGCCCACTTCATGGTGGTTGCCTTCTTTTTCGGACCATGTATCTTCATCTACACTCGGCCAGACACTAGCTTCTCCATTGACAAGGTGGTATCTGTCTTCTACACGGTGGTCACTCCTTTGCTGAATCCTCTCATTTACACCTTGAGAAATGAGGAGGTAAAAAGTGCCATGAAGCATCTCAGACAGAGAGGTTTTTTCATGAAGTCAGGTACATGATGGGTTTGGAATTACAAATATAATTATGGCCATATCTTTAACAGTAAAAGTAAAGAACAAAATTAATAGGTAAAATGACACGTTGGAGTGGCTAGGTGGCTCAATCAGTTAAGCATTGGACTCTTGGTTTCGGCTCAGATTATGATCTCACAGTCGTGGGTTGAGCCCCACATTGGGCTCTGCTCTGGCAGTGCAGAGCCTGATTGGGATTTTCTCTCTCTACCTCTGTCTCTGCCCCCCCCTCAAATAAATAAATAAACAAACAGCAACAACAACAAAAAAGAAAGTGTCAAAGTTTTATGATGATAGCTTTAAAAAATAAATAAAATGGCACAGAGAAGGGCAGACTTCTGTATTAAAGAGAAGGATTTATTAACTATTACTTATATAAAGGAAAAGATGATGGTGGAACAGGTAAGGAAAAAGAATCTGGAAAAGTTCCAAGAAGGCTTCTGATTTCACTAGTAAAAGAACACAAGTTGGGGCATGGATTCAGTTTCAGGAACAAGTACAGTAGTGAGAGAACACATTTTCTTGATTTGTGGATTCTGTGGGCTATTGCCTCTGGGAAGCAATATATATCACACCTATGTTTTATAAATTATAGTGGTTTCAAACTTGCTTTCAGATTTATTTTCAGTGTGTTTATTTAAGCCTTCACTGATTTATATTGAATTGAGTTGTTACTTTGAAAGTGATTCTCTCATTATTCCTGGATCTATTTTGTATTTTTCATAGGACTTCTATTTGATAAAATCAAGGTGGAAATGTATAAAGAACTTATTTTAAAATAAGCTTTCTTGAGGTAAAATTTAATTACATAAAATGCATGCATTTTCAATGTACAGTTTGAGAAATTTTGACAAAGGTATATATATATATATATATATATACACACACATACCCATGCAACCATCTTTCCAATCAAGATGTAGAACATTTCCATCACCTCAGAAAGTTTCCGCAGTCCCTTCCCAGCCAATCCTTCTATCCCCACCCAAGCACCCAAAGATCTGATTTTTGTCACTATAAATTAGATTTGTCTTTCCTAGAGCTTCATATAAATTGAATCATACATTATGAACTTTTTCTGTGCCTGACTTCTTTTGCTCCGCATGCTGTTTCTGAGATTAACCTATGTCTTTGTGGGTGTTAGTAGCTTATGTTTTATTATTGTTGAGTAATACCTTATGGTATACCATACTTTGTTTATTCATTCACTTATTGATGGACATTTGGATGTTGTCTGTTTCTGACAATTGTGAATAAAGTAGATATAAATGTTTAGTTACGAGTTACTTTGGTCTCGTGTCTTTGTTTCTCCTGGGTAAATACCTAGGAGTAGAGTAATTGGATCATATAGTAAGTGTATGTTTAACTTGTAAGAAACTACAACGCTGTTTTCCACAGCTGTTGTATGATCTTTTAAAAGTATTTTAGGGGCCATCAGGGTGACTCAGTCGGTTAAGTGAACGACTCTTGATTTCAGCTCAGGTCATGATCTCATGGTTGTGAGATGAGCCCCACTTTGGACTCTGTGCTGAGTATGGAGCCTGCTTAGGATTCTCTCTCTCTCTCTCTCTCTCTCTGCCCCTCCCCCTGCTCATGTATGTGCATACACACTCTCAAAATAAATAAACTTAAAAAAATAAAAATATTTTTAGTATTTATGTATTTATTTGCTTATTTATTTATTTTTAATTTTTAATTTTTATTTATTTTGTTTTTATTTTTAAAAATTTGTAATGTTTTTATTTATTTTTGAGACAGAGGGAGACAGAGCATGAGCAGGGGAGGGGCAGAGAGAGGGAGACACAGAATCTGAAGCAGGCTCCAGGCTCTGAGCTGTCAGCACAAAGTCTGATGTGGGGCTTGAACTCACAGACTGTGAGATCATGACCTGAGCTGAAGTGGGACGCTTAACGACTGAACCACCCAGGCACCCCTATTTTTAATTTTTTTTAATGTGTATTTACTTTTTGAGAGAGAGAGACAGATAGACAGAGCATGAGCGGGGGAGGGGCAGAGAGAGAAGGAGACACAGAATCTGAAGCAGACTCTAGGATCCAAGCTGTCAGCACAGAGCCTGACATGGGGCTTGAACTCCCCAAATGTGAGATCATGACCTGAGCCAAAGTTAGACGCCCAACTGAGCCACCCAGACACCTCTTTATTTATGTATTTTTAAGTAAACACTACCCCCACTGTGGGGCTTGAACTCATGACCCCGAGATCAAGAGTCTCATGCTCCACTGACTGTACCAGCCAGGTGCCCCCAAAGTGGTTGTATGAATTTTTTAATTTTTATTTTTTTAATTAAAAAAATTTTTTTGAGTCAGGGGAGGGGCAGAGAGAGATGGAGGGAGAGAATCTCAAGCAGGCTCTATGCTCAGAGAGGAGCCCCATGCGGAGCTTGATCTCAAAATGTGAGAGCATGACCTGAGCCAAAATCCAAAGTCAGATGCTTAACAAACTGAACCACCCAGGCACCCCCAAAGTGATTGTATCATTTGATACTCTCATCAGAAGTATAGGAGTTTAACATCCAACAAATTGGTATTTAATTTTAGACATTCTCGTGAGTGTGTGGTTTACTTGTCATTTCCCTAATGACTGATGATGCTGAGAACCTTTCAATTTGCTTATTATCCTTTAATATATCTTTGTTGTGATGTGTCTCTTCAGATATTTGATCATTTATTATTTTTTTGTCTTCTTGTCACTGTAAGAGTATACAACAGTATTTTTTGTATAGTCTGGATATAAGACCTTTGTTGCATTTGTCCTGGCAATATTTTTTCTCACTCCGTGGCTTGCTGTTTTATTTTCTAAATGATATATTTTGAAGAGCAGAAGTTTACATTTTGATTAAGTTCTTATTTATCAATTTTTTACTTTTAAGATTGATGCCTTTTGTGTCCTAAGAAATCTTCACCTACTCCAAAGTCTCAAAGATTTTCTCCTGTTTTCTTTTAGAAATTTTATAGTTCAGCTTTAAATTTTAGGTTTGTGGTCCATTGTAAGTTTACTTTGATATATCATGCAAGATAAGGGTTGAGATTTGTTTTCCCACCTACCTAGTTGATACAGTACATTTAAAAAGACTTGTTTCCCCATTGTGTTACCTTTTTAAGTCAGTTGAGCCTTGAGAGGACATAAAAGTATTCTTTTCACCTCTTCACTATCATCTGTCACCATTCTCTGCCTTAGAGTCTAAACTATAACCACATTGGTCTATCATTTCTTGGACCACGCCAGAGTTTTTTCCAACATATGTCTTTACACCTGCCATTTCTTCTGCCTAGAATGTTCATCACTCTCTTTTTTTCATGCTTGGCTTTTTTTCATCTTTCAGATCTTAGCTTCAATGTCATTTTGTCAAAGAGGCCCTTAGCACATAATAGGTGCTTGGTAAATATTTTTTTTAACTTGTTTTACTTTTTATTTTTTTGAATTTACATCCAAATTAGTTAGCATATAGTGCAACAATGATTTCAGGAGTAGATTCCTTAATGCCCCTTACCCATGTAGCCCATCCCCCCTCCCACAACCCCTCGTGTAACCCTCAGTTTGTTCTCCATATTTATGAGTCTCTTCTGTTTTGCCCCCTTCCCTGTTTTTATATTATTTTTGTTTCTCTTCCCTTATGTTCATCTGTTTTGTCCCTTAAAGTCCTCATATGAGTGGAGTCATATGATTTTTGTCTTTCTCTGACTGACTAATTTCACTTAGCATAATACTCTCTAGTTCCAGCCTCGTAGTTGCAAATGGCAAGATTTCATTCTTTTTGATTGCCGAGTAATACTCCATTGTATATATATACTACATCTTTATCCATTCATCCATCGATGGACATTTGGGCTCTTTCCATACTTTGGCTATTGTTGATAGTGCTGCTATAAACATGGGGGTGCATGTGTCCCTTCAAAACAGCACACCTGTATCCTGTGGATAAATGCCTAGTAGTGCAATTGCTGGGTTGTAGGGTAGTTCTATTTTTAGTTTTTTGAGGAACTTCCATCCTGTTTTCCAGAGTGGCTGCACCAGCTTGCATTTCCAGGTGCTTGGTAAATATTTATCAAATGAATAAATAATAAGATATCCCCATTCAATTGCTCTGATGGCAGATTTTTCCTGAACACCTGAGGATATCAATAACTTCAATGGCTCAAGTCTTCTTTGTACATCACTAAGTCATAAGCAAACTCACTTTGCCTGATTCACTAGTGTTTGCCAAGCTATTTAGGCAAGCTTCTGAGTGAATGATGTGGTCAAGTGCTACTCAGCAATCTGAAGGTTTGTTTAAACTTTGTTTATCACCCTAAGACAAAAGCAGGAAAAGGTGGCATGGTGTAATGAAAATAGCATGAGTTCATGTGGATACACTTGACTTACCATTCTGCTTCCATCATTTGCTAGCTGGGTGACCTTGGGCATGCTGTCTGCTCTCTTTGAGCTTTAGTTTCATCATTGTAAACAGGCATAACACCTACCTCATAAGTTGTTCTGAGAATGGAGTAAATGCAGAGTGCCTAGAACAATTTCCAGGATATGGAAGATATTAAAAATCCTAACTACTGCTATGGTTGTCAGATATTGGGCCAGAAGACAATTTCATAAGTCATCTAGCCTGATGAACGTTAGGTACCTTATTCTTTGCAAGGCATTTCTTTGATTAGAAACACCAGGCATGTTAAGAGCTTAGACATTGAAGGGCGTCTGGGAGGCTCAGTTGGTTAAGCGTCTGACTGTTGGTTTTCGCTCAGGTCATGATCTCACGGTTCGTGTGTGTGAGCCCCATGTCGGGCTCTGTGCTCACAGTGCGGAGCCTGCTTGGGATTCTCTCTTTCCCTCTCTCTCTGTCCCTCTTCTGCTCGATCTCTCTCAAAATAAATAAATAAACTTAAAAAAATAGTTATTTTTTCCCTCTCCCCTCCAACCTTCCCATTAACTTGTTCAAGGCATTTTTCATGTCTTCATTCCTAAGAGTATAGATGATGGGGTTCAGCAGGGGGGTGACAGCGGTGAAAAACACAGCCACCACCTTGTCCTCAGGGAGGCTGGTGGATGGGCGGGAATAGATGAAGAT